GTTTTTGACAGACACAGTTTTGCTCTGAATAAAAGCACCTACATTTTAAACTAAAATCATCTTGTGATCAGAAATAAAAGTTGTAATTGTTTTGGTTAAACCTTATAAATGATCTCATGCTTGTGTTAAGTGTGTTCAGAATATGCTGAGGACAACCCTCAGCTACTMCCACTCTAACTTAAACTCAGTGCGTAAAATTAATTGAGTTATGGACATTTTTTYCTGACTAAGGTAGATTAGCTAGAGTGGTCATTTTGAATCCAACTGGTACTGAACCCTGCACATTTAGTGATGTGGTTCATGAGATTTTAACAAATGAGTGCACACACAGGACATGGGCAAAGATATTGTAGTGGTCACCTTTGACCCTGACCTCAGAAGGCCTCCTTTAAAGAGACAAAACTCTGTTCTAGTTAAAGTCATACCATGTTTTCTTAAACAGTAAAGAGACATTTTATTTTATTTTCTTTAATCAAGATTATAAACAAAATAATAATGTTCTTTATATTTTTGATTTATATTTTCTCTTAACTAAAAGTTCACCCCTTTGCCTCTGGCAGCAGGTCAAAGCATAAGGTCAGTGTAACATTGTACTTAATGCTTGAGTTTGTGCCCAATTTTTTGCAAAATATAAACCACTTCAGCATATTTACTGCAATACATCTGTAAACTAAAAGCAAACATAAATTTCAATTTGTCCCTGTGTCTTAATGTGAAAATAAAATAAAAAAGTAGTTTTCTCTGGAGTAACTGAGCCATAAAATCTAGGAGTGACCTTCCTGACACGTTTTCTCTGGGTTAACGGCATGATTYTTATTGACCAATCACGACTCACACCGCATCTGGAGCAGCCAATCAGCTCCCCGTACCGCCGKAACGTCCCCGCCTCCCCCTGACACGGTTTATTTTGATGGACAGACGTGCTGCACGGGGATGCGGTTTACTCCAGGCACCGAGGAGGCTTTAAACACCGATCTGGACTGAAACACATCCGCAACAATGGTGGAGGCTTTCTGCGCCACATGGAAACTGGTCGACAGCAAGAACTTTGATGACTACATGAAGGCACTTGGTGAGAATATTACTTTTATTTTTCTTCATGAAAGTACTTCAGCATTCCTCAAGTCGTCCCCCCCACTTTTATTCTGGCAGGCGTTGGCTTTGCCACCAGGCAGGTGGGCAACATGACCAAACCGACAGTAGTGATCAGCCAGGATGGAGACAAAGTGGTGGTGAAGACCCTGAGYACCTTCAGGAACACTGAGTTCTCTGCCAAACTGGGAGAGGAGTTTGATGAGACCACACCTGATGACAGACACGTCAAGGTAAACCCTTAGGTTTAAATGTGCAAATTATTCTCTGGTGTGATAAGATTTTGATTTATTATTATTATTATTATTATTATTATTATTATTATTACCTTGGCTGTAGTCCACTTTTACCATGGAAGGAGACACATTTGTGCACGTGCAGAAGTGGGATGGAAAAGAGACCAGATTTGTGAGAGAGATCAAGGATGGGAAGATGGTGATGGTATGGATTCTCAAAATTCAAAACTTGACTCACTTTGCAGTAAAAGACAAAATGAACAGATTTAAACAAAAAATAAAACACGTCTTGTCGGTTTTGTCTTCCCAGACGTTAACGTTTGAAGGAGTCACAGCGGTTCGCACATATGAGAAGGCCTGAACTTCACCAGAGGAGAAGAGCAAGAGCAGCAATATATAAAACACACTGTTTTGACTGTAAGCTGTGGTTCGCACTTCATTTCTTGATATGTAAGAATTAGCCTACTCTTTTGTAAGAAACTCCAATTTGAAGAGCCTAAACTGTTTGTGTTAAATGTGTAAAAAAAATGGGGAAATAAATTGCTGAACTAAACCATTTAAATGCCCCAGGCTTTCCTTTTTTAAAAAACTTTTCATAAATCATCACTGCTCGTTATTGCAGCTTTTATCTCAGCAGCACTCCCGCTCCGATCCAGTCGGCCTTTCTTTGCAGCTCTGTATGCAGTCGTTACATTTCTGCAGAAACACGTCAGCCTCAGTGGTGGGAACAGAGCCGTCCCTGTGACGGGTCGGTTCCAGGTGGCAGCTGGAGGGAGGCAGGGAAGCAGCAGCGAGGAGGGTGACCATTGAACTCAACTGGAGCGAACGTCCCGTAGTAACCCTCCCAGATGGTCTGAGACCACGTGGAGTTTGTGTGTGTGTGTGAGGGGAGGTGTTGGTGACATTCGCCTTGGGATAATCCGGTTTAAGTTTATGGTGTCATTACGTAGAGGCATCATTCGATGGCGCGTGGACCAACCGAGACTTCCTCCGGGTCGGCGGTGAAAAGGAGGACAAAGCGAGCGATGTGTTGCAGCGATCCAATTCGCAGCGCTCCCTTCAGTCTGTTAATAGAAGCTGTCAGTCAGCCTTTGTCTTTGAGCTGAAGCAGAACATTTCACACTGGTTTGTTTGCAGAGGCTCCGTGTCCCACCCTGTGAGCTGGTTCTTGGAGGAGCAGTGGGACCGCAAGTGCTCATGTTATTTTATTTGTTAAAATCTGATCATATTTTCTGCCAAGTTTTGTCTCCTTCTCAGTAGTCTGTGACATAAAACAACCTGGTAACTGGGGTGGAACTCATTTGGTTTGTGCTTTTGTTATAAATGCAAAATAGCAGCAGAGACTCACAAAACTGTGTGCTGCGAGTAGTTAAAAGACCAGCTGTTTTACAACCTAATGCATTAATAACATGGAGCTTATCACCCTTTATGTAAGACTGACAACAGTAATTTCCTCAGCAGAGCGACAGGAGTGCCTTTATTTGCGAGAAGTCTCTGTCACTGGTGTAAACTGACCTGTGCTAACTCCTCTAAACTCATAAGGCAACATAATGACCCAACCAGTTGTACGGAGCTCAAAATTTCATCCTGGGAAAACATAACTATCAGCAATAATGGTGTGATAAAACTAATTCCTGCTGTAAAAGAAAGTAATTCCAAAAGGGTGGCTAAAAAATGAGCACGTAGTTATCAGTTATTCCATGTCTGCTGACAGCAGCATGTTTGTAAATCAGGATTCACAATGTGTCACTAGTGAACTTGACCACCCAAACCAGTTCTGAGCTGAAGAAAACTCATTTTCAGTATCAGGGAAGGCAGCTCATTAAAAGTGGGCTTGGTCTGTGAGATGTTAGCAGTACAACTGCTTAGTGGTTATCACTGTTGCCTCACACCAAGAAGGTCCTTCTGTGAAAAGTTTGCATGCTCTCATGTTTGTGTAGGTTTTCACCAGGTTCTCCGATTTCCTCCCACTGACCAACAAAAAAAAAAAAAAAAAAAAAAAAAAAATGCATGTTAGCTTGATTTCAGGCCCAGGCCTCAAAGGAGGTCTGTGATCTCAAATGTGATTTGCCTGGTTAAATAAAGGTTAATTAAAAAAAACAGACAAACACATCGTGTCTTGTGATCTTCTCGGGGACTTTGCATTGACTTCCATTCATTTTTAAAAATTAATTTCTAACCCCCTAAACCTAACCTACCACCCAAAACATTTGAAGTTATTGGTCCTGGGCCCGGACCAGTGGATCCCCACAAGATAGTACATTTTGGAAAAATGGGCCTTGCAAGGTAACCTATGCTAGAACACACACACACACACACACACACACAC